AGATGGCCAGCAGACACATGAAAAGATGTTCAACATCACTAATTATCAGGAAAATGCAAATCAAAGCTACAACAAGATATCACCTCACACACATCAGAATGGCTATAATTAACAAGACAGGAAATAACAAGTGTTGGAGAGGATGTGGAGAGAAGGGAACTCTCATACACTGCTGGTGGGAGTGCCAACTGGTGCAGCCACTATGGAAAACAGTATGGAGATTCCTCAAAAAAAATTAAGAATAGAACTACCATAGGATCCAGCTATTCCACTGCTGGATATTTATCCAAAGAACATGAAAATGTGAATGTGTTAAGATATATGCACCCTATGTTCACTGCAGCATTATTCAGAATAGCCAAAACTTGAAAGCAACCTAGGTGTGCCCATCAAGGGACAAATGGATAAAGAAGCTGTGGTATATATACACAATAGAATACTACTCAGCCATAAGAAACGATGAAATCCAGCCATTTGTGATAACATGGATGGACACTGAGGGTATTATGCTAAGCAAAATAAGTCAGAGGGAGAAAGTCAAATACCATATGATCTCACTCATAAATAGAAGATAAAAACAACAACAAATAAACACACAGAGACAGAGATTGGATTGGTGGTTACCAGAGGGGAAGAGGGGAGGAAAGAGGGCGAAAGGGGTGATTAGGCACATGTGTGTGGTAATGGATTATAATTAGTCTTTGGGTGGTGAACATGATCTAGTCTACACAGAAATAGAAATACAATGATGTACACCTGAAATTTATATAATGTTATACACTAATGTTACTGCAATAAAAATAAATAAATTAAAAAAAAGAGAAACAAGCCCATTGAGGACCAGGGCTAAACCAGGGGCTCTGGCCAATGCCTTGAAAACACCGGCCACTCCAGGAGCTGGTGCAATGGAGACCCTGATGCCACCAAAGTTAGGGACCAGAGATCTGATGAGATCCGCGCAGAAATACCTGGGACGTGCGCAGAACGCACCCTGTGGGTGCAGCAGGCTCCAGCCCCAGCCCTCCCGTAAGCACCTCTCCCACCTCCAATCCCTCCCACCAGCCTTGAATGGCTAACAGAAATAGCCAGGATGAGAAGAGTAATCAAGAATAACCAAGGGACTAAACACTACAGAACTCTGAGATGCTCAAAAGGTGCAAAGGACTTAGGGATTCTACGGGTGTTAAAGGCCTTTCTGTGTCAATATTGTGGCAAAGTGGGCAAAAGGAATAGATTCTGAAGAGATTCCAGGGCAGGATTTCTAAAGCGTTCTGGCAGAAGGAGAAGCAGCCTGTGAGTGGACTTGTAGAAGAGGACGAGAGGGAGCGGGGGAGGGAGGAGAGACACAGGGCTGTGGGGTAGGTTCCCTCGCTCCTTACAAGGGTCTTGCTCTGGGGGACACAGACAACCCTATTCCCAAAACGCAGCACTCACAGTCACTCTCTCTGTCTGCAGATCATGCACCTACTTTGCCTACAATCTCCAAGTTTAATGAGAACTAAGGAGGGAAGAGAGGAATGCATTCAATGTCTCCAAATGTCAGCGGGGGAATGCCAGGGACTCCTTTCCTCGGTGTGTTTCTGATTTCTACAGGAGCGCCTGAAGGGCCACTCAGTTATTCCACCACAGACGCTTAGCAACGGCCACATGTGAGCGTCCACGATGCAGCAGCACTTTGCAAAGGGCCAACACACAGAAACAGCTCAGTCAAGATAAGCTGTTGCTGTGATTAAACACTGGCTGAAAACAGAAACTGTTCCTGGCGTGCGGCTTCCAGGAAGTGCCCCTGACCGCACAACCTTTCCAGGTAACCCGCCCACTTCTGTGGGACACCTTGATCTTTGTGCTTGTGAAACAAAGATAGAGCGTGCTTTCCTGGAAAAAGGGAAGGCCAAGCCAATTCATTCCAACCAAAAGGGAAACAGACATTAACTGATTCTGGAAATGCAGCTCAGGCTAATAAAATCAGCCAGGCTCACTGGTGACTGGAAGCTGCAGAGATTGGTGGGGAGGACTTCACATCTCCATCTGCTCACGTGTTTACTTTCTACCTGGAAAGACGGAGGAAGCCTTCTAAAACGTGACTCCACATCTTTTTAACACGTTAGCACGTCTGTCTGAAAACCTTAGCCTCCCCAGCCTCAGCTGCCTGACACAGAGATGCTCATCCCACGCCAGCTACACTGGAGAGGCCCCCTGCGCTGCAGCTGCCCATGGCAATGAAACACTCCCTTTGAGTCCAGGAAAGTGAAGCCTCATCAACTAGGCACAGCCAAGGGGACTAACAGTCCATCCACGCCTCATCTCCAAAACGGACCTGGGGATGTAGTGAGGGCTACGGAGCCTGGTACCCAGGAGGACCACGTGCATCGTCCCTAGGGTTGTGGTTCCTTCTATCTCCCCAAAATGCTAAATAAGCCTTTGCCATTTCCACGCACAGGGAGGGAAAGATGGATGAAACGTGAGCCAAGTTGCAAAGACAATACTATTTTTTCATTTAAATCAATACCTGAGAATTTAATGTTTCACTTATGTACAAATAAGTCTCTCTTTCCTGTTCATATTATTTTCCTAAGTTCTTTCAGATAAATTTGGCAAAGACAGCAAAAACAGCAAAATGGAATATAAACATAACCCAAGGAGACCAGGGTCCAAAGACGCCGTTACTTTTTAAACCCTTACATAGTATGTTCAATGACAGTTACTAACGACTTGGCTCAGCGCAGAAGAGCAACAGTCTCAAAGCTACACTCTGTAAAATCTTTCTATGTAACCTGAAACCACTCTTACCTGGAGTAAGGGGGAGGGCTGCCTTTTCTGCTCCCCTTTTATACAGGTTACAATGTCTTAATAATAAAGATGATCATTTTGAAGGCCTATTATGTGCAAAGAACCAACCTGGACATTTTACTGATATTTGACTTAATGAAGTAAAGCCAATAAGGTAGATATTATTTTCCATGTGAAAAAACTGAAAAATAGACCCACTAAGAAATGTCCCAAGGTGCACACCTCAGGAAAGGGCGAAAAGCTAGACACGTCCTTTGACTCTCTCTAGACTGCCAGCTGCACTCTTGTTAAAGAAAAGCAGCAATTATAATAAATACCATTATAGTGATGGTGTTCACAGCTTGTCAGGGAGTGGGTGCTCCACGTAAGCACTTACGCATGGTTAAGAAAAGTTAAAAGGACTGTTTTCTAGGAAGAGACAACTATTAGTCATGATCAATGGGAATACATGAAACGATGTGAAAAAGAATCCCCAGTTCTCCCCGAGCATCACGGCTGTCAGCTCGCTGCTTCTTTGCAGGACTTTTTCCTCCATGACAAGGAAAGGGAGGGAGGCAGCCCTCAACATTTCGAAAGCATCTTGCACTGCGAGGCGGACAGGCCGCTGTAGGAACCATGTGAGGCTTCACGGCATTAACTTACGACACCCCAAGGAAAACCACCCCCCACCCCCACCATGTCCAGGTCAGACGAGTTTGTACCTACCCGATCACCAGGAGAAGTGCTGTCGTCCAAATTATTGAGGGCGTTTTCCACCCGGGCCAGGCGGCCTGACAGTGACAGCAGAAGGTTCACCACTTTGTCCAGGTCCCCGATGAACATCCGGAACTTGTCGAACTCGTTGGGTTTGCAGACTTGCTTGGCGATGGCCTCCACCTCGTCCCCAAGCGCGCTGTTGGCCTGGATGTCCTCCAGCAGGCTCTCCCGGGCTTCCCGGAGCACCTGCAGCTTGCGACTGATGCTCTCGATGAGCTCCTGCTGTGGGGGCACAGGGCAACACACAATCACTCATTAGCATCACCCTGAACCTGGCAGCATGAGCTGCAGCAGTGCCGCATGGTCCCAACAGGTGATCTGTGTGGCATTCAGCTGAACTGGGTGAGAGCTTATTTTGTACCATCAAATAATAGAGGACTTACGAGACCAGGGGAAGGATAATGACTCCTGGTTAAATCATTGGCATTTAATTGAGAAATAAAATAAACCTATTCTGATCGCGTCACCTTTCTGTCAGTCAGATAGAACAGGACCGGGCCCTCAGGGCTCTCACACTGAACCTCATTTCCACCTGTGTCTTTGCGAGGATTGTCAGGGCCTAGGTGACAGTCTGCACTTCATACTTTGGAAGTTCCCAATCTAAAGACTTACATGGACAGAAGTTATTGAGTCTTCCGTCCAGTACTGAATTCCATGATTAACAAGTGTCCTCTACAAAGAATTAGCAATTAAAAATTAAGACAAAGGGGCTGGCCCGGGGGCATAGTGTTAAGTTTGTGCGCTACGCTTCAGCGGCCCAGGGTTTGCAAGTTTGGATCCTGGGCATGGATCTATGCACCACTTACCAGGCCATGCTGTGGCAGGCACCCTATATAAAGTAGAGGAAGATGGGCATGGATGTTAGCTCAGTGCCAATCTTCCTCAGCAAAAAAAAAAAGAAGAAGAATAAAAAAAATTTAGACAAATAAAGAGATGTCAAGGAACTTAAAACAGTCTTTTAGAATAACTTCCTGATTTTAACTTGACCAAAATACAAATAAATTACTCATTTCTTTCATGTGGTAAAATATACATAACACAAAATTTACCATTTTACCCATTTTTAAGTGTACTGTTCTGGGGCACTAAGGATATTCATTCACATCATTGTGCAACCATCACCACCATCTCCAGAACTTTTCCATCTTCCCAAGCTGAAACTCTGACCATTAAACACTAACTCTCCATTCTCCTCTCCCGCCAGCTCTTGATTTATTTATTTTTTTTTATTTATTTTTTTTATTTATTTTTTTTAATTTTTTGTTTATTGCAGTAACATTGGTTTATAACATTGTAAAAATTTCAGGTGTACATCATTGTACTTCTATTTCTGCATAGATTACATCATGTTCACCACCAAAATACTAATTACAACCCATCACCACACACATGTACCGAATTATCCCTTTCACCCTCCTCCCTCCCCCCTTCCCCTCTGGTAACCACCAATCCAATCTCTGTAAATAAGTCTTAAAGAGCAAAAATTAAAAACGAAATATATAAGACCTTTAAATCGGCCACCATTCTGAAGTGAGGTGGCACCATATGGTCTGATCTGAGTAGCAGACAAAGCACATCACCCGCTTCCTTTACCATCACATTTGAGAAAAATTATAAGAACGGCTCAAAAGGAGTACCACAGGTGAGCCGTGCCCTGGAAAAACCATCTTATGATCGCGGACCTCTCTCTGCCCTTAAATGCAGCCACAGCAGATTCAATGGGTCGTTTGCCCCCACATGGGGAATGATGAAGAGCCAATGGTTAGGAGAAAAGTCACACACACACACATTGTCCTCTTGAGGACTCTCGCCACCACCAGCCCCACACGAGATCCGCTCGGCTCACCCAGTCTCGCATCCGTCAACACGGCAGTTACCGAGGGCTGTGATGCCACCACGCCACTGGGCTAGCGCACGGGCAGGGGCTGAAACTGAAGAAGTGCTCAGGTGCACAGACCAAAATGAAGATGAAAATAATTTGAATATTCAAGTCCAAGTAGGATTTTTAAAGCTCACTCTGTAATAACAGCACTGTTTTCTGCACAGTGGACCTACGGAAAGCAGCCGTGCCGTCAGCCCTTCTCCACCCCTTCTGGGGGCAGTTTACAAACTCGGACCCCAGAGAGAGTCTGCAGAGCTTGGCGGAGAGAAGGAAAATGCCTGGAAGGAGCAAAGTCGCATTAGGCTCTCCAGGACCCGTCCACAGCTCAATAGGGGAACTGCAGCCCCTACCTCTAGGACTGACACGAAGATGAATTACCTCCCCGTATGGAAAGTGCTTAAAAAAATTAAGACAAATAAAGAAATGTCAAGGAACTTAAAACAGTCTTTTAGAATAACCTCCTGATTTCAACTTGACCAAAATATAAATAAATTACTCATTTTTTTAATGTGGTAAAATATACATAACGCAAAATTTACTCATGCTTGGCACTCAGTAAGCGCCCTGTCCATAGCGGTTAGCAGCAATACCGGAAGTCAGGGATGAGAAGCCGCCCTGATTTCACAAACTACAGTCAGGTAGAAACCACCCCGATCCCAGTGGCTATGCAAGGGGAAAAGTCAAACACTGCAGCAAAGACATGGGGAACCACTGGTGCAGGACCCTCTGTGTCCTATTACCCGGCCACGTGTGATCTCTGTCTCGGGATGATGCTTTTAAAGAGAACCTCCATCTACCATTTATGTGTTGAAAAAAAAAAGTCTACAAATTTGAAAGGCATAAGCTCTAATGGGGGCATTGCCTCCTCTAGGTTCCATCCGCCTCAGGTTTATCAGCAGGTCTGGATATCCGGCAGATTAAAATGGTAAGCAGTCTTAAAGGCCTGCCATCCTCACTGCTGATTAATCAGCACGGTTTTCCTCCTAAGAAAGACCACGAGGAATTTCCAAATTGCTTTTGGCTTTTCCGGGTCAGGTGTTAGTTGCTCAGAATGTCAAGACATTCTCTTCCCTTAGTAATTTGACTGTATGCATCTAGATTTCTTTGCTGTTTTCTCTCAGAGTGTGAGTGTGTATATGTGTGTGTGCATTCACGCATGTGGATCTGTGTGTCTGTTTACCTACCTATCTGGAGAGACTGTCTAAATCAACTTCGAATCCCACAGCTGAGAATGTGGCCATTTTAGATATTCATTACTTGAGGGAAAAGCACAAAAGAGATTACAGAGAAGGAGGACTTTCCAAATTCTCGCCTGTTGCCAATCCTGGCAAGTAATTTAGATGACTGCGGATGGCTGAGGACCCCTAGCCAGTGTGATTGGTAATTTTTCAGTTTCATTCTTCTCCAACAATTATCACAATGAAGATTTCATGCCAATGCACAAAGACGTGCCTTCAAAAACCTACACTATCAGCTGGCCTAACTTGAAACTGGGCGCTCTGGAAGGAATCCAAATTCCTTTATATGTCTTGCATAAATTTGTATTAGAAACACTTTCCCCTTCATCCTGAAAGGGCCACTATACGAAGTGCAGACGTTGGCTTTCAAAGATTTTGAGAAGAGATCTGGCCCAGGGCTGCACACAAATCAGTGGCCATCACCACCAGCCAGGGTGCTGAAGGCTTCACCACATTAGACCAAGCGGCCCACGAGCCCGTCTGCTTCTGTTCTGCAGCACGTGGCCTTCCAGGAGGCCCTGGATAAGAGAATGCGGCGGCAGAGGCCGGCTCCAAGTCTCCCAGCACATGCACAGCTGCATCTCACTTCTCTGTTCGGGTGGGCCCTGGGTCACCACAGACACGCACCTTTTGTCCCATTCTAGAGGGCAAACGAGGTCTTTTCTCTCTGGGCCTTGCACCTTGCTCTGGGTTCCAGGAAAAATCCACAGCCCTCACCGATTCCAGACTTCAACCAATCAGCCATCTTTGGTTCTCCTGAAAAATCCCACACCTCAGCCAGTGCGGCTTCTGACCAGTCTACTTGAGCTGCTCCAGGTACAGAAACGTATTTTGCCTTCCTAGTGTAATGCTTCCTACCGGCCCCCAGAACTCCCTAACCGCATCCCAGCCTGGGGGCTTCTGTTCTCCGTCTTCTCCTAAGACAGGAGGTCACCTGATTCGGCACTCGGCTCTATGACCACCCAGTGATGCTGTCATCATGACAGCCGTGGTCCCTCTGAGAATGTCTGGGGCACGTGGGATTAGGGGTCTTGCTGTTTTACCATTAAGTGGCCAATCAAGTGCACGTGCACAGCGCTCCCTTCCTCCTCCCCCCTGTGCACACTTTGCCTAACTGGGTGACACTGTAAATTTGTGGGTGTTGGAAAGAAGGGAGAAAAGAGAATGCACCAGTTGCCTGTGTGTCAAATCAAGCAGAAAAGCAGGATTACCGAGTCACTAACACCACAGAGAGCTGTGATTTATAGCATTTGCTGCTTAGGGTGAAATTCCCCAACATATGCTTATTGAACTAAAGATGTCAGTGGGGAGCCGGCCCAGTGGCGTAGTGGTTAAGTTCGCATGCTCCGCTTCAGCGGCCCGGGGTTCGCAGGTTCAGATCCTGGGCACGGAATGATGCACCGCTTGTCAAGCCACGCTGTGGTGGCGTCCCATATAAAGGAGAGGAAAATGGGCACGGGTGTTAGCCCAGGGCCAATCTTCCTTAGCAAAAAAAGAAAAAATAAGTCAGTTGGCTTAAGAATTTAATCGAACTGAGGGTGAGTAGGCAGGGTAGGCTGTCAAGAGGCAAGCTCACGGTGACTCCTCTCAATCCCAAAGCAGCCATTTATGGTGAGGTGGCATCCCAGCCTCTTGTGCCTCCCAAAGCAAATGGAGAAAGCGTGGCACAGAAGAAGGCACGCAGCACCAAGGCGCTGCTTCCCAGATTCATCATATCACGAGAAACAAAGGCGGACTGTAAGGAACGGAGTTCTCTACATCTGGGGGGTGGGCTGAATGACAAGTGTCTAAACTGTACATTTTTTTAATTTTATGAGAGTAACTGAAAACATTTTTGATTGTTGATTTTCATTTTTTTGCTGAGGAAGATTCGCCCTGAGCTAACATCTGTTGCCAATCTTCCTCTACTTTGTATGTGGGATGTTGCCACAGCATGGCCGCTGATGAGTGGTTTAGGTCCGTGCCCAGGATCCAAAGCCAGGCCGCCAAAGCGGAGCACACTGAACTCAACCAGTACACCATGGGGCCAGCCCCATTATTATAATTTTTCAAAAAATGGAAAATGCAACCAGAATAAAGCAAATGGTACCCTAAGCCAGATACAGGGCCTCTAAGAGTCCCACGACAAAAACTGATTTTTCATTTCCTTTTTTAATTCCTTGAACCAAAAAGCTATCATTTCCTAAATTGAAAGTCATTTTCCTTTATGCATGGGTCACAATATTTCTTCTGGAACCCATCTGTCTATCATATTTGAAGTCATACAGTAACATTTTAAAATCACTAACGATACAAGCAGACTTTCAACATAATCCTTTGCAAAGGTCTTATCAAGAAAAAAAAAAAAATCAGTAGTTTTTGTGAAAGCCCTTTCCAAAGTGCTGAGCACATGGAAACATTCATAAAATGCTGGTTCCCTCCTTTTCTTTTCCTGGTACTGACTATTGAGGTAAGCTGAAGGCCCCCAGAATAAACAGCACAGGCTATCCTCTGAAACTCTTTGGCAATTCCTTTATCTCTATGCTAAGTCCTTCCTGTAAAAAAATAGGTAATCACCTAGATGTCACAGCTCTGGCCTGCTGACATGCCATGAAGATTTAAAGCTAATATGGTAGTAATGACATTGGCACAGAAAACAATAATTCTGTCCTTACCATGACTTCATGGAGACCCACTCTTTAGTCCCTGACCTCATTCTGACCTTGTCACCAATCCTCCCTTCCTGTCCACACAGCTCCAGCCAATGATCTCTGCTGCTTCTCCAACATACCAGGAGGCTCCCACCCCAGGACCTTTGTATTGCTGGCCCCCCTCCCTGGCATGCCCCGACTTCCACAGGATTTGCCGCTCACATTGCTCCAGGTCTCTGTTCAATCATCACCTCATCAGAGCCCTCTCTATAATCACACTCCTTTGTCTCTCTCTAATGCTTCACCCTGTTTTAATTTTCTTACCACCTGACGTATTACATTAAGGAGTGACAAACTTTTTCGGCAAAGGGCCAGATGGTAAATATTTTAGACTTTACAGGCCATATGACTACTATTTCAACTACTCAATTCGGCTGCTCTAGTGCAAAAGCCACCAGAGACCATATGTAAATGAATGAATGTGGCTGTGTTTCAATAAAACTTTATTTACAAAAGCAGCTGGTGGGCCAGGTTTGGCCCACAGGTCGTAGTTTGCCGACCTGTCTTGTGTGTTTATTTGTGTATGCATTGGCTGTCCATCTCTCCTGTGAAAACAGAAGCTCCCTCAAGGAAGGAAGGGCTTTAGTCTGCTTTGTCTACTGCCACAGCCTCAAGTGCCCGGGCGAGTTCTTGGAGCTGAACAAATGATTCTCTTTGATTGACAAAGCACTTTCCGATTCACTACTG